ACAACTTTGAATCCCTCGTGTGTCGTGGTCGCAGGAATACAAGGAATTGGATCGGCAGAAGAGACGAGGAATGAAATGGAATGCAACGCACCTTACTGCAAGTAGCGCTACCAGGCGCCCCACATGAAAAGGAAAACTACCCCCGCTTCTGGCATAAGCAACAACTCTCTGCACAATTGGTCACCTGGCACGTAGGCAAATGGCACGCCGGAAGTATGCGTTACACCGTACGATAGATCATGCTTCAGCAAGCAACCCATCGAGCACGGGAAGACTAGCAGCCTTAAAGCCTAAAGGTGTTTGCCACTACACACTGGCTACCGAAAGTTCCTGGGTTCGGTGTGAGGTAGCTCCAACGCTAAGCCCCCGTAGCTGTGAATTACGGTGAATCAACCCGAGAGAATGGCGATATAATGCAAATTGTGCCACACGCCCTGAAAAAGGAAATCATACCCCCTAGTGGTTCAGAATGGAGTTCTGCCATTCAGCCTCTAGGGATACCTATTGACGATTAGTGCCTGCATTTTGGCCGTAGGCACCTTAAGGCGATGTGCCTCCCTAAGCAGCCCTACCGATATCCCATCGGGCATAACATATGAACTACAGAATACGTCTTGTGTTCTTCCAGCCTATCAGAAACTGCCGGCATATGGGGTCAAGGTTGTTTCTGGTTAATAAATATGGCATTCGGTTCTGTTGGTGCAACTGCTGCGCGCTCTGGAGAGATGGGCAAACCGCTGCTTCAGTGAACTCAACACCACGGCACTGCATCTGTGGGTTTCCGGATGAGTGGTATTTTTGCGCTATTGTGCCTCTTTACCATTGCCTGCACGCCTATCGAGAATGCCGTCACTAGCGCAATGCAGGATTCATTACGTCAGGCCTCAGCAGCCCAGCAAACATGCACTCTAACCGTGTTTTTTCTACACTAAAAACTGGCAATAACGTAGCCTCTCCCCCTTGGGATATGGGCTGCTGGTACCATTTCACAACACATATTCTTCGCTCTGTGATATGCCTAGAATGAGATTAATGGTATAGCGCTATAGTTGATCGGGGAAGCATTAATGCGACCACCTACTGTGGTCTAATCACAGTCGGTTAACTGTTAATCCGAGTATCCTCTCGCAGAGCTCGGATTTGAACTCTCACAGAAAATTCTACTAGAACCTGTGAATTAGCTCATCTATGCTGAGAGTTTCGGCAGTTTCCTTCACCCCAAGGATGACGGCGCACAAACGACGGATAACCGTTCTTTTAGCCTTGCGCTAAACGCGGACGAAGGTCACTGACTTGCAGCAGACTTGAGCACTTTGGCAATTTTGGTTGCTGTAAAAGCCCTGCATTTTTTTGCACTGGGAGATTCATTCGGGTTCGCCTCGCATGATTTTCCCTTGCTTTTCATGCCTCACAGCCAAATAATTTCTATTTGCGTTCTTCCTCACGGTATCCTGATTCAGTCCCTCTACTGAAGCCATGGCCCCCCACCCCATAGCCTAATAAATTCCCACCTCAATGAAAGGGTGCTTGAAATGCGGACAGCGTCAACTGACAAACGGTCCAGGGAACGAAAAGCAACTTCCAAGAGTTGGTTTACGGGGTGAGCACCTGCTCACAGCAAGAACTGTGAGCAGGGGTGGAGCTCTCTAAGGTGCTGCACTATTCCGAAGGCCTGCCAAAAGTTTAGGCCTCGGCTCCGCTTCTGTACTAGCAGACCACCCCACGCGCTGAACTACCCAGGTAATCTGGGCAATATGGCTTGTATTTTGTTCAATAGCCTTTTTCGATCCCAAAATAAATGAAATTCGACAATTCCCCCCCGAGAGCGTGCACCGTTCCAAGAAGCAGGGATTGCAGGAAATTTAGTGACTTCCGTGCCGAATGATAAGGACGGCGCGGTGACTAGAGAAAGCTAAGGTAAGATAAAGGTACAACAGCACTATCTATACGTAGTAATGGTGCAAGTGATGCGGGTTCTATAGACGAGTAGGGCATGCAGCAGTACACACGGAGCGCCTTCAAGCCCTGGGCGTTGCAATCGTTGTTCGGAGGATAGACCACCAGATATAGGAAAAGGTGAAAGTTTCGACTTTCCCTGGAAACTAACGTCATGCTACATGCTTGCTCTTGCCGCTAAATGCACTAGCTGCACAAAGCGGAGCCCTGAGGGAAATTCGGCTCCTGTCGCCATCGGGTGGCAGCACGCTTCCGTTTCTTTTGGATGAACCAGAACGGAGTGAAAATAGCGTTAGTTTCCGGTAACACACTGACGCTTGTGGCTGAAGCATAACAAAATACACAAGCCGCTACACTACATTGAGGAAATAAAACATTTTCCGCACCCCACATAATCCGCCACGCATCCCTCCTACTAAAAGGGATGTACGAGTTTCTAGGGATGGGCTTAGTACCTTAATCAGCCAACAGGCAGAAGAAACATGTACCTCTATCCATTGTGAACATGTAGAACCAAGGTCGACGTCCTAGTAAACTAGAAGATCGTCACCGTCGCCCTTGTCCCAAGGCGGTGAGGGAAGGTCGAAAATTGTTGTATAAACTGATATGACCTTTTATAGCAGATCTAGCCAGTGCGCATTTCCCACTTTTCCGAGCTATAATGCTGTCATGGAAGTGACGGAAAAAACTTTGCTTCAGTCTTCCAATTCAGCCATGCTCACGGGTTTTTGGTTCCCAATGCTCGAAGAGATGGAATGGCCAGGTATGAACCACAGAAATTTCCTGGTCCGCTTGCTCACCGGACCGCCAAACTGGAGCGGGCCGTACATCTCTTGCTTAACGATAATCTAAATACACAGAGTCTAGCCATTTTAGCAGTGCACCAATGAGTCGAAGTACACTCCCAGCATAAGCTGGTTCGAAAGCCGTCATTCACTGCCAGATAGTAGCGCAAATCGCTTGTCACCGTCCTGTAATACTGCTGATGCAAACCAAGACACCCAATTCGGCCGCATTTAGTATGGCCAAAGTATACGAAATGCTGTACTAGGCAGATAAGCTGGAATATGCCAGCGGAAGCACCAGCAATTTAGGAGAGCATCTGGCTTTTATGCAGGACATAAGCACGGCAGCCACTACTCCGCTGCACTGGAGACCCATGGCGTTTTCAGAGGCTCACCTAAAGAAGCCTGACCGAAGTGGATTATGAGCGTTGGGCAGCTTTTTCCAAAATCCGGAGCCGACGTAACAAGCACTCCACGCCAGCAAACTTTGCGTACCCTTCAGGGCTCTGTGGGACAAAGTGACAGAAAAAATGCACCAGAATGGCCTTATTTACATGATTAGACAGTCTAGAGTGCCGGAAAGCAAACAGAAAATCGGAATATTAGCTTGGGTGCTGATGAGTACAGACAATTAGTATCGGCACTGGTATTGATAGGGAATGAGTCACTCTCTGTCGGACGAGTAACGGGATGTACTCCCCAGTCAGTGCTTCGCTGCAGCGTTGAACGGAATGAGCTCCTGTTTCGTTGGCAGCATTGCAGCGCCCACTCCAAAATTCGCATGCGCATGGCATTTTTCTTGCTTAACGGAGGGTTGAGTTGCGGTTCACAGACGAAGTATGAAAAACACGTACAGGAAGTTAGCTGTAGGGACAAGCTGCCTGGTGGGAGGCTGAGAGGTCCTGGAAGAAATTAGGTTCCCAGAGCAGTGGATGTGGCTAAAAAGCAAAATGGTCAGGGTCCGCGCAGTCGTGCCGCAGCAAGCTTTCCCCCTTATGCGCAGCCATGCAATCGCCAGAAATCAATCCGACCATGCCCTGAGGGGTCGTCGGAAGCGGCCGCAGGTCAGGCATCGGTCGGCATTTATTTAAAGGGCAATTTCCCTCCCCTCAAGGATAGGAGGGAACGACCTTGCATTCGAGCACCAGGAGAAACCGACTCCTCAGGCGCAATGATTGCCAGTGAGAGACTGCCCGAGCAAGCCAACCTAGCGATATATTCTCTGCCACCAGAACAAAGTCCAGAGGTCACATGCTGGCGTATTCACCGACGCAGCAATGCCGACTGCATACCTGCGCAGGACTCTGGTGCTTTTTGACGTGACAGCCCATTCGAAGGTTTCGCCGACTATACGCACCGATCCTTCCCTGTCTACGAGTTTTACTCCATACCTGCCTCTCGTATGTTACCAACCTTTCGGTGGTTGCTTTAGCAATGGGTGCACCTGCAGGCGCACGCAAACCATAAGGAACAGTGGTGCCAGCAACGATACGAAGAATTGCAGACCACATTGATGCCGACTGAAACAGTTCTGTATGGTGTTTACAGGCCATCGAAGGATCCGTTCGGTTGCAACAGCCTGTAGCGGTTTTCTCCATGCATTTTGTTTTTCGGTAATGCATATCCAGCGGAAATGCCTCCCATCAAATGGTTTCCGCATTTGTGTAGGCGTTGCGGTGCTTCTAGCGCATACCATGTTTCTTTAGCGTGAAAAGTGAGGAAGGGCTCTCACCTTGGCCAGTTGCCTGACACTCCACACCATCGGCTTCGTAAGCTAGCAAATTAAACAATGTTAGCATGGATGACAACCCAATGCCGGTGGTGAGCACCTTGACTTTTGTTTCCCCGGCGCTGCCAAAGGATTTGCCAGTGCTGAGCGTAGGAACGACCCTGACAAATTTTCAGGCAGTAGGTTGAGGATCCTGAGCAGCAGTAGAGGTGTACAACAGGGATAGGACGCCTAATTAGGATAACTTTGAACTCGCAAAAGCTGCACGAAGTGCAACTGCAAACACACAACGTATTTAAGGTTGCGCTTCCCACGCCACCAGGTATTTCCCCTTTCCTTTCCTGTGACCGTATGGGTCATGAGACAGCTGTGCAGGATGCAACAGCACACAGTGTTTGTTGAGCGTACTCTTGGGGCGCGGAAGTAGGTCATCTGGGCGAATGGCTACCAATCCTGACTCGCCTAGCCCTCGGATTTCCAAGCAACGTTCAGCTGCGCCTTGGGGGCTTGCATGAGACCCCAAGAAGAGCATGAGCACGCAATTGGGTTTGCCTGTGGAGCAGTTCCCCGCTTTCTCGAGGTTGGAATTTTTGCCGTCTGCGACACGCTGCGCACTAGAGATGTGCAACGCAATGGTGAAGCCAGACAATCAAGCGACTCCATACTCGGGCTTCATGGAGACGTCCGCAGTGGCAGGGAAATTTTGTTTTCATGTCCTCAAGGAACCTCTGTTCAAGATGAACCAGCAGCCTGTATTGATGGCTGATACTCTGCGCACGGGGAAGCAGGTTATCTGCGCAGATCGCCATCAAGCCTTGCTTGCCCTGCCGCGGGAATTCCAAGTAGCTTTCGCTGGTTACCCTGGATAGGTGTTGGAGGAGTGATGGGACATTCGGCTGTCTAGGTCTTTGGCACGAAGCCTGGGCAGACCAAGTTTCCCGGAGAAAAACTGTGCTGCGCGAGGTTTCTTTATACTACACGACACCTGCCGCTCATTGTCCTGTTGCCGCTTCCATGTGCTTTTGGGCTCATGCTGGTTTAGACGTTCCCGTAATAACCAGTAAATCATGAAGCCGTGATATGTAATGCCCCCCCAAGTTTCCTGGAGCAAACCTTGGCTGCGCGAGTTTTCGTTATATAGCACATGCTCTATAGCAAGCGGATTCCAAAGCAGTGGAACGCATGCTCTGCCTTCAACAAGCGGGATTCTGCTTAGAAAACGCGAAGTCCTGCGGTCCTGCCGCTGAGACCTCTGGATGAGCATTAATCAAGAACGTTAGGGCAGGCCATGCTTTTTCCTTCCGAGCACCGCCGGCACGAAGAGTCCTATCTGCTAAGGTGCCCCCGTAGTTGGATTCTGCATGGGTAAGGCGAGAGGTGTGCCTAAGGGAAGGCCGACTGTTGGAGGTAGCGTTCTAGCGCGGAAGTTGGAACCAACGAGTCTCCCTCGTGATTGTCTTCTCCAGAGAACTGGATTGTCGGAGCTGGCGAGAACCGTCTCTCCTGCGCCAGCCGCTGCGTCCTTCATGGCTGAGTGGACCAGCGACCGGGTGTCAGCAGTTTTCCCAATTGTGTACAGTCCTGCACAAGCTCTGTGAGCGCTGGGAGGCGAACTTGGTTTCGTTCTCCATGTGGGCTGTTTCTCGCTGCCTGCTGGTTGAAGGCAGTCTTGCTATTTGAAATTTAAATTATGTCAGGCATTTTATTGTTGTTTGGATATGCTCCAGTCCCATGACTGAGTTCGGAATGTGACTAATGCTCTCGCTGGAGCTGATGGTTTAGCGACTGAGGGATAGAACATGGCTGGATGGAACAATCTGCAGGCAAAAGAGATCGGATTAATATAGTTTTAGTGGTACCCACCCTGGATTGGATATCGCTGGCCACTGGCGTATCCAGGCACTGGCGCATGCGCTTTACAATTGCTAGCGCAGTAACAGAACTAAGCTGTGGTAGGAGAGCTGGGACTCACTAAAAAACTTTTTCTGTTGCCCTGCTGAAAGTTATCGTGTTGGCAGTGGAATTGGAATTACCGATGCACCCAAGATATGGCTGTTCTGAAGTAGTAGGTCTTTCTAGGCGCTGAACGCCTTGTAGGCGCTCAGCGAGGGTACCCCGTGTACTGCGTGTGAGCGAACGAATACAGTTACGCATTTTGGCACCGACTTCGCAGGGTCGCACCTTGCCTAGCTGGCTGCTGCCCAGAAATCCATGCTTGCCTTAGGACGGGTCGGCATGTCGCAGGCCTTTCTTTTGGGAATTATCCTTGACAGGTGTCCCCGCGAAAATGGCACTCATTCTGCCCATCCTTCATCCTCCCCTCGCCTCAGTGTGCGCCTAGCGAAATTTGCACAGAATAATCTTTTTGTCAAACCGAAAGAGGTTCATTCTTGGCTCTTCTTTCAAAGATGGATATGGCCAGCTCTGCCGCCTGCCTAGGCCAACAGAAGCGCCTGGCATGTACGCACACTAGAGCCAAAGTTCCCCTCAACGCTGCCTTTCTCCAGGTTTGCGGGAGCGTCATGATATTCCACCTTTTTGGGATTGTAGGCAGTTGGTCAAGGCGTATATCGTTGGAAATGAGAGACGGAGCCTTCGCGGGTGTCCCACCAACCGCCGCCTGTAAAGGCAGTGGTGCGGTGTACTGCTCGTGGGCAGATGGTGCCTGTGTTGCACAATTCCCCACGCTTGGCAGACTGGAGGCAGCTCGCCCAACTTTGTTCTGAGTATTGCGTGTAACGCGAGAGAGAATTGCAGCCTTTGCGGTAGAACAGCATTGAATCTGGCGCCTCTGAAATTCCCAGATGCTCCGCTACCTTCCATCGTTCTTTTTTGAGGCAGGTAGCTAGCAGTGCAAAGCCCGCGGGAATACATAGCTTTGCAGCTGGCGTGTGAAGGCGCTTGCGGGAGGCGTTCAACAAAGGGAACGCAAAGGTGCGAGCACTTTGGGGGATGACGGCGCTTTCAGAGCAGTTGTAAAACCCAACGGAGCGCCTAATTGCTAAGCCCGTCAGCGGACGGAGTGGAACTCTTGGTAGTGCCAGAGGCAGCCTTATGGTGAATGCTCTATGATGGGGAAAAGAGAAAGCGCCTCCCCGTCATAAACGCCAGCGATTCGGCTGTAGTGGATGCAAAGCCCACAAATATTTTCTGTCTAGAAGAGGAAGCGACAGGCGGTGAACAAATGGCGTATAAGAATATCAATGTTCTAACGTGCCTCGCCTACAGATAGACTGCCAGGTACTGATGGAGGTGATGCGTAGAAATAGTGTGATCCAAGCTCACTGCGGCTGCTTTCCTTTTTGCAAGATGAGCCAATGGGCTGCCGGGATTTTTAAAGCATTGGATAGTCGCGTCGTACGCACTGAAATTTTGTGCAGTTGGTAGTCACGGTGGCGATCTGTTCAGCTTACAGATATTGTACTTGCAGCAAACCATGAACTTGTACCGGCCTACTGCTAGTGCTACATCGGTATAGGCTTCGCCAGTCCGTGTCGATAGTTACAGTTGGCACAGTATTGCTCTTCATCATCCTGACTTCGACTGAATAATTCTCCCGTGGTTTTCTAGCAATTTACTGGTTCCACGTGCCTCGGAGGGACCCCTGAGGACTGCTTAGTACCCATTTGTTGCCAGTCTGACGCACTGGCCTACAGGCACGGCAGGAACTATGAGAGGTTGCCTTACGCTGCATGTTTTTTTGATTCGCGGCTCATCCCCTGATTTTGTCTCTCTCTGTTAACGTGCGCAGGATAATGGAGCTGGACTGTCTCCAACGCTGGACGGTGGCCATGTGGGGGAATTCCTGCCGAACTACCATCTGGATGGGGCATTCGCGAGTGCGAATTGCGACTGGTGGATTCTGCAATTTGATTTTTGTTCTTACCTGATGAGGTTTATCTTGCGAGTTGGCAAATTGAATGCCTTCATAAACCACGCCGAACACTGACGTGATTCTCTGCGTTGTGCAACTGCAGGAGGTGAAATTCTAAGGTGAAAAGGGTATTGCAAATCTGAGTAATTGTTCTGCACTGGCGAACCGGATAACGCCTGTATGCAGCATAGGCGTTATTAGTATCGGTATTTTCTCATGAGGCACCATGGGTGCAATGCTTCTCATCATGCTCCTTTATTTACATGCAATAATACTAAGACATGCATGCGGTAGTCTTGCGGCTGGATAAGAGATCATTTGCATACGGGGGACACGTTCCACCCACTCAGTACTACGAGCCTCCTGGATAGGTAGGGCAGCACAGGATTAAAGATATTCTTCCCTAAAAGCTTATTCGGTGTGAACATGGGAAATACCACGGTATCAATTGAAGATGGTGAAACCCTCGAAGAGATAGATAATGCAACCAGCGGAATTTCGGGACATCCGCTGTTTTGCCGCAGAATCGCGATCGACAGTAAGTTTTTCACCAATAGCCATAGGTAGCATGAGGGGGTATATTTGAGCCGATAAAAAGTACTCTGTAAGGTACCTGTTAGCATAGCAGAGGACGTTGAATACAACTGTCAGCCTGGCGCGGTCGCCAGTTCGACTCAGCTTACACACTTGGGTGGCCTATGACCACCTTTGTTAGCCTGCGTTGTATTGTACCACAAATATACCTAAACTTTGTCTCCTGGCGGGGTCTTCATTGAAGACCCCGCCAGTGAGAAGACGCCTGGACCGGGGCGTTCACGAGCATGGAGTAGGACGAAGTCGAGGCTTCACCCATAATTGCAACGTGGGCAGGTTTTTTTGCTGAAGGATACTTTATAGGAAGCTGCGAGGCAGAAATAATTGTTTCCCCTCTGGGTATCCGTGCTGAGCATTTTCACCAAAAATCCGCCATTTCAGCTAGATGTTAGGGCTGGTCTGTCACCCTGTTTGCTCCTCGATCAGTAGATCTTTTGGTCACTTTGTGGCTCACTCCCGTGACAATTATAACGCTACGGGCATTTTCTCAGCAGCCTGTGACGCCCTTATCAGGCTTCCCTAAAAAATGGATCTGAAGTAAGTTGTTAACAATTGCGCACTTCTCCTGAAAAGGCCAACTTCCCGCGTGGGTTGACGGTGGCACCCTTTGTTCCAGGTATTAGAAAATCAAAGTCGGTAAATAAGTAGCCTTTTTTATCTATTTGTTTTCCACGCATCGCTCAAACTTTGTCGCAGCAGTCCAACGCATTCCTGCTCTCAGGCCGCCGAAGCCGAGAATCAAGGTGGTCAAAGCAATTTTTGCTGGTCTGAGTCGAAAAATAGTCGGAGCAGACAAGGGCGCTCACTTGATGCTCGCATTGCTCATCCGACCTGCCACTTTGTCTTGTATCAGGCGCAGCTGCGCGCTTGTGCGTGAACAAGTGAATGAAAGCTCAATAAAGACATGATTGAGCAGCCGTCGCTCACGGCAAGACTGGGGTCCCATCAGCAGGGCAGCATTTATCCTGAAGGAGCGGGACAGCAGCTCTAAGGAATTGACGGGGACTAGCACAAACTGTGGAGCATGTGGTTTAATTCGGCGTAACGCCAAGAACCTCACCAGAGCTTGAAATATATGCTATTAAAAAATAAACTTTTTGTAAATAGAAAAGCAGCAGGTGCGTGAGTGTCGTCAACTCGTGTCGTCCGATGTTAGCTGAAGTCCAGCGACGAGCGTAAACGAAACAAATATTTTTCTAAAAAATCTTTTCGAAAAAATAATAGACAGATTACTATTAGAAGTAGACAACGACATTAAATTGTAATAAATATCGAAAATCATTAGATGCAAAAAATTTTTTTTTTATATGCAAATATTTAACAATTTAGAACAAAATAATGGTGTAATAAATATTTTTAAATGCATGTAAACGTTCCGTTGCAATACGTACCCGATGTCCT